CTCTACAGTAAACAAAAAATTAGCCAGGCGTGGTAGCGCGTGCCTATAATTCTGGCTACTTGGAAGGCTGAGGCGGAAGGATCACTGGAGCCCAGCAGGTCGAGGCTGCAGTGGCCGGGAGTGGCCACTGCACTCCAGTCTGGGCGGCAGAGTGAGTCTCCAACCCCAAAACAAAAACAAAAACAAACAAACAAAAAAGGAATTGGGATGAAAATATGTCCTTCCTCAAAGTGTGTTTGGGAGGATTTAGTGGGATAATACATGGAAGTTCTCCACACGGCCCTTGGAACATGGCAACCCACTGGTCCCTCCTCCTCCGATGCTACCTCCTCTGTGAAGCCCACTCCCTGCCTCTCCTTTCTCCCCTGTTATCCACAGCCTCCTGGCTCTCTCCCACAGCCTTCAGGAGGCCCTCAAGGGACAGAGAGATCATTGCTATGCACCCGGAACACAGCCCCAGAACACATGGTTAGGGAGTGATAACAGAGGGACTAAATGATCCCCTTTCTACACATAAGTAAATGGGCTCCCTGGGGTGCTGAGGGGTTCCCAGGTAAATGCAGAGACCTGCGGGTGGAGCTTCCATTTTTATCCCTCTTGTAGACCCACAGGGCAGGGACATCACTCGTGTGGCTACCTTCCTGCTCAGTGCCCAGCACAGCTCTGGTGCACAACGGGTGCTCACAAATGCTTGTCTTACAGATTGTACTTGAGATTCTAGTTCTTAAACAGGCTCCAATTTTTTTGTTTTGCTTTGTTTTTGAGTTGGCTGATTTTTTGATTTATTGTAGAGATGAGGTCTCGCTGCCCAGGCGGGTCTCGAACCTGCGGGCTCAGGCAATCCACTCACCTCAGCCTCCCAAAGGCACGGGATTACAGGCTGAGCCACCGAGCCCAGCTGGCTCCAATTTTTTAAAGGTGGGCAGAGGGGCTTGTTAAAATGCACTCGTAGGGTTTCAGGAAGGAAATCAAAACCCATAAATGATCTACTATGTGTAACATAACTGTGGGGAAATTAAGGGTGTCAGAGAATTAAGGATGGGTCAAGAGGAAACTCAGCAAATGATTTAAAAAAGCAAAGCAAGGAGTTACTCCAGGAAGAACAAGGGGCTATATAAGAAAGGAAATGTAACCAAAATATGTGACTTGGCTTGGCAGGGAACAGCATTTATATAGTCACAATATAAATAACACTATCCACTTAACAGAACATCACACTAAGTGTAGACTGAAAGGAGGGTGAGGGGCCAGGCTCGTTGGCTCAGCCTGTAATCCCAGCACTTTGGGAGGCTGAGGTGAGTGGATTGCCTGAGCCCGTGGGTTCGAGACCTACCCGGGCAACTTGGTAAGACCTCGTCTCTACAATAAATAAATTTTAAAAAATTAGCCAGGCGTGTTAGCGTACACCTGTAGTTCCAGTTACTTGGAAGGCTGAGGCTGAAGGATCACCGGAGACCAACAGGTCAAGGCTGCGGTGGCCGGGATCAGCCACTGCACTGTAGTCTGGGCGACAGAGTGAGGCTCCAACTCAAAGAAAAAGAAAAAGAAAAAAAGAAAGGAGGGTGAGGAAAATCTAACTCCTTGATGATAATAAGACCCAGTTTCAACCACGTGTTGGGTGACGTGCATTGTTCTAAGCACTTTACATCTGGAATCCTAATAACAATCCAATAACCTAAATACTATTCTTGCTGATTGGAATACTGAGGCACAAGGAAGTTACGTCACTTGCCCAAAGCATAAGGCCAGAAAGGAGAAGGGCTGGCGTCCAAAGTCAGGCCACCGAGGCCACACTGTGAGGACATCAGACCAGAAGGTCAGTCAATATTTGCCTACAGTCAATTTAAAAAACAGCAGGAAAAGCAAGCTATTTAAAAGGATGAAGAAACATGCCAGAAGAAATAGTTTAAAGAATTGAAAATGGTTGTTGCTGGGGAACAGAGCTGGAGTGGAAAAGGACAGGGCATGGAAATATTTTTATTAGTGTTATTCAATTTATACAGATATGTAGATATGTCACAGGGAGGCAGAAACTGGCAGGGAAAGACACGAGAGAACTTTCCATGGTGACAATGATGCTTTAGATCTTGACTGGGGCTTGGGGTACAGAAAGCATTTGTCTAAACTCAGTAAATGGTTCTTTAAAAATCTGTGTCTTTCACTGTATATAAATTTTACCTCCAGAAAAAAAGGCATAAACAAATATTGAACTCTAGCTAATGATGAGGGTTCCAGAGTGCCTTTACGGGAAGTTTTCTGATGTTGCAATTTACCCTGAAAAGCTTTTTTTTTTTTTAAAAAAAAAAAAAAGTAAGTTGTATTAATGGATGAATGGAAAGATAGATGAATGGGTAGATTCCTGATAGAGCAAATAGAGAAGATATTAGCAACCATGCATGAGCAGGCAGGTATGTGAATGCTCACTGTATAACACTTTCAACTTACCGATTTGAAATCCTTCTTAATAAAATATTGGGGGAGATATACGAGTGAATTGTCTGAAGAATAATATGACATTTTTAAAAACCTGCATGGGGCATTTGGCCTGGGGCCTATATGGACCTGGACACCTCTAAGCCCTCCTATATGCACATCTATCCAGAAGGCAGCTGTCACCATGCCCTTACCTATGTCCCCACCCTACCCTAGGATCCTAGGGTCAGGGACCCACAGCCCAGTTCCTCAGTCCTTCCTGTTCCCCCCAGCCCCTTCGAATGCCTCAGTAACAGAAAGAGAACCATTTCACCAGAAACAGAAACAGGCCCCCAGGTCTATACTGCATCCTCTACCAAAAGGGTAAACTGAGGCCCAGTGAGGGGGTGCCTTCCCAGGACACCTTCATGGCAGAAATGAGCAGCCAGGTTGCCTGGCTCCCAACCCTACATGTGTATAATTAGTTGGTGGGAACTGGATCAGGGAGCAGATCTCACTCTGCCTAATTAGGGGCTGGGCAGCTGGGGCCAGGCTGGCCTAGGGGGGCTGCTCCAGAGGCCAGGCAGCCCCAGGAGACAGGGCAGCAGCTGCAGGCCCTCGAAGGGGCTGGGCTGCTGCTCATTGCCGGTCACCCTCCAACTGGGCGCAGAACAATAGAGGAGCTGTTTCTGCAGATCCCCCTGGCTGGGATGGGGGGAGGGGGGGCGGGAGGAGGCTAAGTCCCCAGCCTGCTCCCTCCACAGAACCCTGCAGGGCAGGCTGGCGGGCTGTAGAATCCTGGAAGAGGGGGAGTCCTCCAAGGCCAAGCACACCTGCTGGAGAGGTAAAGGTGTGTGACAGCTTCCAGTCTCCAAAAAGCCCTCCCTGCTCTCCCCCCTGGCCCAGTGCCTGGGAACAGCTCTGGGCTTGGGGCAGGGTCCCTGAATATGCTTGCTTTCCATTCCATGACTATTATGGACTTGCTGCTTGGTTGCCATATCTCTTCCTCCAGACTAGGGCAGGGACCATGTCTGTCTTATCCACTGCTGGGCAACCAGTAGGTGCTCAATAATGAAATGACCAGAAGGCTGCCAAGAGAGGAAGAGAGTGGGGTGTGTGTTGGGAGAATCAAAGCCCAAGAGTGCCACTCACTGTGGGACATCTGGCAGGCCTGGGTGTGACTCTAGGCTGTCCTGCTGTCCCGTTATGTGGCAGCCCACAAATCACCACCCCTCCCTGAGCTTAACATCCTGCTCTGACAACACACCCAACCCTCAAGAGGTCACCCTGAGGATTTGGTGAGAGGATGAGCCCCAGGAACAAGGGGTTGCCCACCTGCCCTGAGTCCTGGACCTCCATTTCTTCACAAGTAAGATGCAGCTGACGCATCCACCTTCTTGGGTTGCTGGGGTTACCAGGTCACAGCAAGGGACAGTGACCAGCACAGACTTCCAGCAGGGCTAGAGGGAGGAGCTAGCCTTTCACACCTTGAGGGATGCCACTTCTGCAGAGCCTGCCTCAATTGTCCCCTGACACCATCCCTCCTTCAGCTTCTGCACTGTCAAAACTGCTGCCACAAAGGATAAACTTCCCTCTCATGAGGTAGACACAGCCTCTTCTGTAAATTCAATTTCTCCTTCTTTCCCCAAACTGCCCAGGCCCATCCAGTCCTGGGACTACTTGTGGTCAGACAGACAGACAGACAGCTGGGTTGACCTGGATGTTTGTCAACAGTCCAACGGAAATCTCCTCTTTAGGCTTAAAATAAAACCTACATCAAACCTGTCACCAGGGCCCCCATGAGAGCTTCCTGTTTCTGAGCACTGCAGCCAAGGCAGGCTGCGGACAGGAAGTGCCACTGAGACCTGCCCCACCCTGAAAGGCAGGAGAGCCCACCCCAGCTTTCACCCTTTGTGTGCCCAGTCCTTACCCTGGCTGCTTCACGAAAGTGGGGTCTCCTGGCAGGTAACTGACCTGGAGGAAGACTAGGAGCTGGGCCCTCAAAGTCCAGTGCCAGCCCACCTGTTCTCTAGGTATTGGACAACAGCACAAAGGGCCAACCTGAGGACTGCGCTGCCTCCCACCGGGGCCAGGGAAAGACTGGCTTGGCCAAGACCACCGAGGTGGAGATGAGATCACTCATGTGTGTCCACCCAAGTCGCCCTTCCTTCAAGAACTCCTTACTCCCTCTATGGCTGTGTGATTTGGGTTCAAGTTTTGCCCTCTCTGAGCCTCCTGCACCCTTGGGAACTGAGCAGGGGGTGGGATGGAATTCTCCTGGCTGGGAAGGTCTGTGCACCCGTCAGTCTCTCCCTGCAGCCCCCTTCCTGGAGTAGGGGAAAGACCCCATCCTACTTCCAGCCCTATCCCAACTCACTCTGTGGCTAGACCTCCGTTTCTTCCTTCACAAAGGACGCCGGCCGGCCAGCCTCCCAGAGGAGTCCTGGGACCACCTGGGGGCAAGTCTCAGGCCAGGCCAGCGGCTGACCTCATGCCCCACCAGATCTTGGGCTGAACAATTACCAAGTTTTGAAGTCCCACCCCCTGCCCTCGTGAACACAGAAGAGTCTGAAGGCCTTGCCCTTGAGAAACAAGCATTTGTGTTTATTAACCACAGGGAGGGAAGTCAGAGCAGTGCAGACTGCTAACCAGTCCCTCCTGTCATCTACCCACCTAGGCTGGCTGCCAAGACCTAGGAAGAGCAGCAGCTAAGCCTCCTCTCCCCTGCCCCCACCCCAGGATGAGTTCCCAGGGAGTCAGGGCCCGCTGGGTAAGGAAAAGGAAGTCAGCAAAGGGCAGAAGCCAAGGAAGGAAGGAAGAAACAGAGCCACCGGGGAGACAGGCTTGGTAGACTCCCTCAGCTCCTCACTCTCAGTGGGGAGGGCAAGCACCCCAAACGTAGCCCCACAAGAGGAACCGAGAGGGCACTCTTCTGGCAGAAACCTCACATGAGGGGCGGAGTGTCCAAGCCGAGAACCACTCTCTCCAGGGTCAGTCTTTGCCAGGGGACGCAGGCCCAGCTTCTATGCCTCTGCCTTACACCAAGTTCACAGCCTCCAGCATGCCCAGATCCAGGAACGGAAGCAAGAGGTCAAGGGACCTGTTGCCTTCCTAAGATCTGTCCTGTGGCAAACGCCGAGTCCTGGGGCCTAGCTCTCAGCTGCGGGGGTCTCCCGTGCCTGCCTCAGCCCATATAGCCACTTGATGACGCGGGCATTGCGCTCCACCACTGACACACCGTAGGGGACACGCTCCCGGGCCCGCTCCTCAACAGTCGCTGAGCTGCGGCGGGAGCAGCCGTCCTCAGAGCTGCCCGGCCCTGCGCTGGGCCCAGCCAGAGACACGATGTCCGAGCTGGCCCGCGCCAGGTGGGCCACGCCCAATCCCCGAGCCTCCTCGGGGTCCAGGCCGCAGAAGTTAAAAAAGCGCTCAAGGTCGGCAGCTGCCCGAGAGAAGCGCTCGCTCAAGTCCGACTTGGAACGTTGCAAACCCGGCGGCCGGGCTGGGCTGGAGGCGGCGGCAGGACCTGGTGACGGGCAGGGCCGGGCAGGTGAGGCAGGCAGGGGGCGGACGTCCACTCGGCGGACGGCAGCCGTGCTGGGCGGTGGGCGTGGAGGGGTGGCTGGCGGGGGCTGGCGGGCTCCCTCTGCCCGCCCAGGGGTGCGACTGGCCTCAGCGGGGGACACAGGACTGTCACACAAGTTGATGAGGTTGCTGAGGATGTCCAGGTCCAGCTGGGGCCGGCGGCAGGGGCCAGGCAGGGCACGGCGGCTGGGCGTGAGCACTGTGCGGCGAGTCCCCGGGCTAAAGAGTGGCTGTTTGGACAGCAGAGGCTGCACAGGCTCCTGGCGGGTGTTGGCCACATGCAGGCTCTTGACGTACTTGGCCTTGTCGGCCTCTAGGCGCTCCACAGCACTGGGCTTCCGGGCTCCGACGTCCGCTGGCCTCCGCAGGAGGTAGCCGGGGACCCTGGTCCGCAGGCGGAAAGGAAGGGCGGGGGCGGCGGGGGCTCCGGGGGTCAGCGTGTCCACAGGCATGGCTACTACATACCTGAAGGCTTCGGAGAGCCCAGAGGAATGAGGACACAGGGATCCGGGCAAAGAGTGGCAGCTGGGCGCCGGCAACTGCTGCAGCGAAGGAAAGAAAGGGGCTGAGCGCTCTCTGACAAAGGCTCAGCCGGTGCTGAGCGAAGCGGAGACGCCCTCACAGCTATAAGGCGGAGGCCACGCCCCTGCCCTACAGGCCGCCAATCAGCAGAGAGCAACTGCCGCGAGGCCTGTGGTTCCCCCCGCCCCCTCTCCCGGGGACCAGGCCCAGCTGAGGCAGAGGGAAGACACATGCTAGGGAAGAAAGACCCGGCAGCCTGCACAGAAGAGGCAGGGCAAGACGCGCTCGAAAGGGGGCAGAGCAGGCTCCAGGTTGTGCTGGGCACCAGCCAGCCCAACCTTGGAGTCCTCTCAACAGCCCATTTCACAGATGGGGAAGCAAGCCCAGAGAGGCAACCGGCTTGCTTGAGCTGAGCAGGCGCCTCTGTCCCTCCCCTCCAAGCAGGCGCTGGCCCAGTGACATCAGGATGAAGGGACCAGGAGAAAGGGCTCCAGCATACACTCAGTCTGCAACGTTCACAGGGAGCCTGGTACCATCTCCACCCCCTACCCACCCAGGCAGGAAGCTGCCCTGCGCCTCCACCTGCTCAGACATGCCAGGCCCCAGGCACAGGAGCAGAGTTTGCAAGGGAGGAGAAGAGAAAGCCCTCGCCCCTCCAGTGGAGCACAGACACCCTTGGTTTCCAGCTGGGACCTGAGTGGCCACGGCAATCCTCGAACACCCGTCGGATGGAAATGTCAACCCTGAGCTATGCCGCTCGGAGACAAGTCATTTGGAAATGCCCAAGATCACACAGCCCTGAGTGGGGGCATCCAGTAGACCCTCCACCTGCCGGCAGCCAAGGGACACTCACCTCCATCCTCACTGACAGGACACTCATCCCTGTCCTCACTGGCAGGACACTCATCCCCGTCCTAACAGGCAGGACGCTCACCGCATCCTCACAGGCAGAATGCTCATCCCTGTCCTCACAGGCAGGATGCTCACCCCGTCCTCACTGGCAGGAAGGCCTAAGGCTGGATGCACAAGTGTTCACAAGGTTGCCCAAGTGTCAGGGCCTGATGCCCTAGACATCAAGCCAATCCTGTCCCTGTTGCTAAGGATGGGATGGGGATACAAAGAGACCTCACTACCCAGGACCCTTGAAGATAGGGCAAGAAGAAAACCCATAAGCCAAGTCTCGCACATTCTCATCTGTAAAATGGGGCTTACAAATCCTCTTGCTCCCCAAGAAGACTTGCAGTTCAAGCCATCTAGACCTGTGCTGTCCCATTCAATACTACCAGCCACATGTGGCTATTCAATCTTAACTGAAATAAAAGCTTAAAAATCAGCTCCTGAATCACACTAGCCACATTTCAGGCTTTCAAAAGCCACGTGTGGCCCGTGGTCACTGTACTAGACAGCACCGCACACAGCATTTCCATCCATGACAGAAAGGTATACTGAACAGCCCCACCTAGACATCCAGAAGCCCAGGAGGGGGTGATCCAGATTGGGTGGGAGCCAAGGACCCCTACTGAATGTGACATTTGACATCATCTCCTCCCACAACCTGGTGTCTCATTGTCACCCCATTTTGTAGATAGGGAACTGAGACTCAGAGAAGTGACCACCCCAGGTGCCAGAATAGACAAATAAGGCACAAATTCATACAAACCCTGCCCTGACCACACTAGTTTCAACGACGCATCTTGCTTCTCCCCCACGGTCCTCCCACACTCATCTTTTCCTCCTCATCACCTGTGCCAGGACTGTATCGCTCACTCTGCTGCTGCTATGTTGTTTTACTCTGCTGTCCCCATGACCTGACACGTCAGCTCCCTGAGGGCATGGGTTTTTGTCTTTTTTGCTCACCACATCTCAGTTTTGGGATACTGCTCCCGATACAGTAGGTATTCTATAAACATGGGCCCAGTGCTGACCAGCAGGCCAGGATGAACCAGGGCCCAGCACACCTAGTTTCAGAGGGTCTATGGGTCCAAGGTGGTCACCACCATGTTCTGGGAAGCCGAGAAGTCAGATGCGCAGGAAAACTCTGGATTCTTCACTGCCAGCACATTCAGTAATAATGAACTTAAAGACACTGCATGTACTGGGCAAACAAAAAAACACATACGTCTGCAAAGACATCTGCCCCCCCCGCCATTGGCTCCACAACCACTGACTTAGAACCTTGGGCTCAGGGCAAATGCTGCTGCAGAGGCAGAAGGGATGGCATGAACCAGGAAGGAAGGCCACTCAGGGCCAACCCCCCTCAGCAGACCTGGGGGGGGAAGGCAGCCTCGAGGAGGGCGGCCCAGGCTGCCCGACCCTGCCCCACCCCCGGGCCCAACCTCCCAAACCAGTCCAACCCGTTGGCAGCGGAGATTCCCTCGCGGGCTCCATGGGGAAAGAGGGAGGAAGGAGGCCAGACGGGCAGGGCCAGGGCAGAAGCCCACGTTCCCCTACCCCCACTCCGGTCCCTCCGCCCGAGCTGCTGGCCCCAGGGTCCCCTCCGCGAGGGCCAATCCCGTCGTGGGCGCCGCAGGTTCGTGCTTCCCCACCCCTCCTGAGCACCTCGCGCAAGCAGCTGCGCCCTGGACATACTTGGTGTCCGCACCTGTGAAATGAGGATAAAAATAGAACGTCCCGAGCCTCCAGATCACGGCGAGGATAGAGACCCAGCTCTCTCACCTGGCAGCAAGGCTCTGTGAGCCAGGCGCCTTGTCTTCAGGCCTTTGGCCACCCAGGTCCGCAGACGAGTCCCCCAGGAGTCCTAAGCTCCCGCAGAAGGGTGGGCCCTAGCCGGAGCCGCCGACACAGGAGGCAGGAGACAGGCGCATCAGGGAGTCACAGGTGGGCACACGGAGTCCGCGGCTCCCGCAGGTGAAGCTGGTCCCGAGCCCCGGATGGGACTCACTCCCAAAGCCCCCACCCTCGGATTCCAGCGCTGCCAGGAATACTCCCAGAGGCGCCGGCCCCACCTCGCTTCCTCCCCACCGGCTGGAAGCCGCGGACTTGAGTGGCGGGGACTCGGATCCCTACTCCGGCTGCTGCTCTCCCTCACTTCGGGGCGATCCAGGGGATTCCCGGCGGCGGAGGGGGCAGCGAGCAGAGCCGTGACACCCGCCGCTCGCCGCCCCTCGTTGCGTTCGGGTTGCCTGGCTCTCAAATGAGGGTGCTGACGGCAGAACCCTGCAGTCCTGTTTCGCCCGAGAGGTGCGTCCCAGCCCAATTCCCGCCACCGCTGGGAGGGAGGGGCGCCCCGGCCGCCCCCACCCCGACGGACGCCCTGCCTCCCGGTCCGCACGTACCTGGCTGCGCCCGCGCCGCCGGCCTGCGCGCCTCCAGCCCGGCCCACCCGGGCCCAGGTAACCTGCGTTTGCGCAACTTCCGGCGGCAGCGGCAGGTGAACTCGCTGGCCCGGGTATTACCCGAAAGGGGGGAGGAAGGGCAGCAGGGGCCAGAGCCCCGAGCGCTGGCAGCTGGCCGGGCCAGGAACCGGTCGGATCCGTTCCAGGCCCACCTGGAAGCTCTTCCTGGAGCCGGGACCGCCCACCGCACATCTGGAGCCCCAGTGACCCGCAGGCCAGCGCACCCTAACAGTAACTGCAAAGCCGCAATACAAATTTCATAATAAAACAGAAAGCACAAATCTCTTCTGAGTGCGTCTTTATACCAGACACTGTCCTAAGCTCTTGATATATGTTGACTCATTTAATTCTCACACACACCTTGTGAGGTAGACACTATTATTATACTCACTTTCAGATGTGAAAACTGAGGCTCTGAGAGGTAAGGTCACGTGCCCAACCTCAAACAGCTGGTAAATGGAGAAACAGGCTCAATTTTGGGGAGGGAAGGGGGAAGAGTGTTTTCGCTATTGGGCTTTGGCCGCTCAGATGTACCTCCAAAGGAACACCTAAATAATCTACAGCCTCCTTGTCTGGCTCCAGGGGGAGAAGCCACCATAGGAAGCCCTCCCTGGTGACGGTCTGCGACTCAGTTTCCTCAGCTGTAAAATGGGAGTAATAATGGCAGTGTTTTCCCAGCAGAAATTGAACCTCATCACCGCAGCGCTTAAACGTTCCTGGGGCTCCTTTAAAATAAAATCCAAACTCCCACTTGGCCCTCAGGCCCTCCGGGATGCTGGACCTGCCCAACTCTCCCACCTCATCCCTGATGTCTTTCCTGCTGTAGCCACAAAGCCCTTCTTGCTGCTCTGAACAAACCACAATCTTTCCTGCCTTGGGGCCTTTGTACCAGCTGTCCTCTGTCTGGAACCTCTTCCCTCACCTTCTCTGGGTCCCACTTCAAATGTCATATCCTCTGAGGGTCCTCCCTGACCACCCTGAGAGGCTCCCACCAACATTTCGTCCATTTTATTCCCTGCCAAGTGTTCATCGCATCTGTTATTTTAGATAGTCATGTATTATCACCCGTTCCCTATTTCTCCCACTGGACTGGGTGCTCCATCACACCCTTCCATGTTTTCTTTCTCCAGGGACCAGACCCAAGAGGAAACACCATTGACCGAGTGGCTGGACTGGACCCAGTCCACCTCAAAGGCCCAGGCCACTCATCAAGATGTACACATTGCTGGGCTCGGTGGCTCAGCCTGTAATCCCAGCACTTTGGGAGGCAGAGGCAAGTGGATTGCCTGAGCCCGCAGGTTCAAGACCTGCCCAGGCAACTTGGCGAGACTTTGTCTCTACGATAAATAAAAAATGAGCCAGGCATGGTAGCATGTACCTGTAGTTCTGCCTACTTGGAAGGCTGAGGCGAAAGGATCGCCGGAGCCCAACAGGTCAAGGCTACAGTGGCCGGGAGTGTGCCACTGCACTCCAGTCTGGGTGACAGAGTGAGACTCTGACTCAAAAAAAAAAGTACACCTTAAAGAACGTAGGGTGCCAAAAAAATGTATACACATTTTAAGAAAGGAAAAAACTGTATTAAAATTGTAATACTCAATATATACCAATAACCAATAACCAATAAAAGATAACACAAGTCACGTTTGACTTCTGCAATTATACATTGCTACATAATTCAATTCAACTTTGAAAAGTAGATCACATAGATCACACTGCTTAAAATGCATATTCATTTTTTGGCACCCATGGTACATGCACCATTTTGGCCTGTCAGTGATTCCAAGAAAGAGAAAGAGAGATGGATGGAGGAAGGGAGGGAGGGAGAGGAAGAAAGGAAAGGAAAAGAAGGAAGGAAAAAAGGAAGACAGAAAGAAAGGGAAAGAGAGTTCAACATAACTGTCAGGAACAACACAGAAGTGATGCTGTGTCCTTCTCAGCCCATCTCAGCAGGAGTCTCTTTTCATGTTTTAGAGACAGGGTCTCACAATGTTGCCCAGGTTGAAGTGCAGTGACTGTTCACAGGTGCAATCATGACCCACTGCAACCTCAGATTCCTGGGCTCAAGGGATCCTCCTGCCTCAGCCTCCTGAGTAGCTGGGACTACAGATGAGGCACCATACCCACCTGTAACAGTTTGTCACAATCTTAGTGATCAGCAGATTCCTTGCTTAAGGTGGTATCTGCCAGATTTCTCTACTGTATAGTTATTATTGTCCCTTTGTAATTGATAAATATCTTGTGAGAAGAAAAAAAAAGGCTAGCTCACCTGGACTCCAAGACTCCCCCACAACCTGCAATCCTAGACACCAAGATCCCCCCAAACCTGACCCTGCTCCCAAGCCTGTTCCTCCTCCAACCTCAAGTCACCCCCATTCAAGCTGGGCTCTGTCCACACCCAGCCAAGCCCTGTTGTTTCTCCAAAGACACTATGTCCAACATCTGCACCTGCTGGTGCTGCAGCCTGTGGTGGCCTTTGCCCCTCTATCCCCAGCCACCCCTGCAGGGGTAGCATGGACCCCAGAGACCATCCAAATCCACCAGTGACTCGCTATAAGACCTCAGGCAGAATCCTCAACTTCTCCATGCCTCAGTTTCCCCAACTGTAAAACAGGATTCACAACAGTGCCTCCCTACCAGTGTGAGGCCTGTGCATAACAAATGTCACCAGGATGTGAGCTGTAATACTCAACCAAGCAGTTCCCCCAGTGTCAGGCTCCTGGGGAAGGTCTCTATCAGCCCGGAACGCTGATCCCCTGCTCTCAGAGGTTACAGATCTAAGAGCAGCATGGGTAATGGTTAAGAGTTCAGAGGCACTTGGAAAGATATTCCTTCAAAGAAATGTACACATGGCCAATACACACAAGAGAGACGGGCCACATCATTAATCATTAGGGAAATACAAATGAAGACTGTAATGAGATACCACATCACACCCGTGAGAATGGCCATTATAAAAATACACAGATATAAACAGGAGATGACAAGTGTCAGTGAGGATGGCAAGGAATGACAACCATGTATGTTGCTGCTGGGAATGCTTTCCACAGTCACCGTGAAAACAGCAAGGAGGTTCCTCAAAAAATTAAGCAGAATCACCATAGGGTCATCCAGTAGTTCCACTCCCGGGTCCTCACCCACAAGAATTCAAAGCAAGCTGGGCTTGGTGGCTCAGCCTGTCATCCCGCGCCTTTGGGAGGCTGAGGTGAGTGGATTGCCTGAACCCGCGGGTTCGAGACCCACCTGGGCAGCGAGACCTCATCTCTACAATAAATCAAAAAATCAGCCGGGCGTGGTGGTGCGTGCCTGTAGTTCCGGCTACTCGGAAGGCTGAGGCGGAAGGATCGCCGGAGCCCAGGAGGTCGAGGCTGCGGTGGCCGGGAGCGGCCACTGCACTCCAGTCTGGGCGACGGAGTGAGACTCCAACTCAAAAAAAAAAGAATTCAAAGCAGGGATTCAAGCAGATACCTGTACTCCTGCGTTCAAAGCAGCCCCAGTGACAACAGCCAAAGCAACCCAAGTGTCCATCGAGAGAGGTGGATAAACAAGTATGGTACAGACACAGATCATCATTCTGGCACGTACTACAACGTGGATGAAATATATATGATGCTAAGCTAAGTGAGACAGGCACAATGGACCACCACTGTGTGAGTTCACCTCATGAGGTGCCCAGGGTGGTCAACCCACAGAGAGACAGTAGATGACAAGGGCTGGGCAGCGGGAAAGGGGAGCTGGTGTTTATTTCAGTTTGCAACGTTAGTGATGGCTGCACAACAGCATGAATGGACTTAATACCACTGAGCTGTACACTAAAAGGTAGTTAAAGCTGGGCTCGGTAGCTCAGCCTGTAATCCCGTGCCTTGGGAGGCTGAAGTGAGTGGATTGCCTGAGCCCGCGGGTTCGAGACCCGCCTGGGCAACTTGGGGAGACCTCATCTTTATAATAAATCAAAAAAATTAGCTGGGTGTGGTAACACGCGCCTGTAGTTCCAGCTACTTGGAAGGCTGAGGCAGAAGGATCGCTGGAGCCCAGGAGGTCGAGGCTGCGGTGGCCGGGAGCGGCCACTGCACTCCAGTCTGGGCAACAGAGTGAGACGCCAACTCAGAAAACAAAAAACAAAAAAGAAAGAAAAGAAAACAGTACAAAATCTGCAGCCAGACTCCACCTTGGGTTAACCTTATGTGAAGTATTAAACCCCTCTTGTACTCAGTTTCCCCTCTGCAAGATGGAAAGAACAGTGGTATCACCTCATATCATAGAGCTGAGGAAATCCAATGAGTCCATACTTGTAAGTACTTCACACACAGTAAGTGCTTGAGAGTGTTGGTGATTCTCATTCCTGGTGGGGGACGGGAAGTGTGGTCTCTAATGGTTGTCATCATCATAACACTCTCCACCCACCGCCCCTTCCTTCCACCTGCCTCTCTTTCCCCTCAGTGGAAACCCAGTCCATACTCGGGGAGAGACAGGGAGGCCCTCGCCTGCCCCAGAGGAGATCAGGAAGGCTCCAAGTCGCAGCGAGGGGCTAGTCTGTGGGGCAGCGCCCGCTCGATTTCAGCCCAGCTGTCCAGGTCAGAGACACCCAGCTTGGCCTCCTCCAGGGCCACACCAGGCAGGAGCTATTTCTGGAGTCTTCCCAGTCACTCATGCCCTAGCCTGCCCAGAAGTCAGCCTTGCACAAAGCTCAGGAAGGGAAAGGTGAGCTGGCTGTGGGAGGAGCGTGGGGGTGGGTGCTAGACCCACTGATATGACAACTCTACCAACTCAATCTTCTAGGTTTCAGACAAAACGGCTTGCAGTGGGGACTGAACAAGACAGACACCACATGCAAGGCCTTATGGATAGGCCTGACACACAGGATGGCCAGGGTTTGGGTTGGGACAGACCCATAGCCAAGCCTACTCCTTGTCCTGGTTGCCATCTGAACTCACCATCATGGCTTATCTCAACCCAGAGATGTAAAGAAACTTGCCCAAAGTCACACAGCAAGCCAGTGACAGGGCAGTGGCCTCATGATTATACATATATATATATATATATATATATATATATATTACATGCACATAGCTCAAAGTTCAAAAACTAGAAAGGTAATGAAGTAAAAAAAGAACCTCCCTCCCAGCCTCCCAGCCCTGTCCCCAGTTCTCCTTCCTGCAGGCACCACTGTGACCAGACAGTTGTTTATCCTTGCAGGGATACTGAGGCAGATGCAAGCAGGCATGAACATACATACTTCCTCTTCTTTTCCACATCACGTCATGCTATGTATACTGTCTTCTTCTTGCTCTTTTTTGCTAAATATCACATGCTGTTCTTCATGCCACATCAGTACATAAAGAGCACCCACACCCTTTCTCACAAATGCACAGTATAATGTCCCATCAGCCCCCACGGATGGCCACTTAGCGTGTGTCGTTTCCGCCTATTACAGACCAAACTGTGGCATCACTGCACCTACACCATTTTGCCTGGAAGTAGGATGGCTGGGCCTGGGGGACGCACTTATCATTGTGACAGAGGTGCAGGGACTGCATTCCATGGAGGCTATCTGAGCTGGCCTCCCACCAGTGGAACACACAGAAAAAGGCCAGTGCATGTTAGCTTCGGTGATCTTGATGACTGGGGTTTCAGGCATCCCTGAATTTCACCCTGGTAAGTGCCTCAGTAGCCTCACCCTAGCCCCAGATTCGCCTCACATCCCAGTGGGAGAAGATAATAATCTCACAAATAAGTAAAGTAATGGGACAGAAGATGGAGAAAACGCTACTGAGGAAACAAAACCTACAGGGTGAGGGGAAGGCATATGACATCGATAAACATTTGTTGAAAGAATGAATGAAAGACTTGTTTTCTTTCAAAGCCAAGAGGAGGGTCCAGAGGAGACCAGAGGGTAAGTAACTCCCTTGTGAAGAGGTTTGAGACTCAAATCCTACCATTCTGAGTGTCTAGGATTGAAGCCAGGGGTACTAGGAGCCAACCCCTGCATCGCCCAGTCTCACCGCGGTTTTAGGAAAGGGGCTTAGCTTCTTAGAACCTCAGTTTCCCCACCTACAAAAAGAGACCAACAATAGCAACGCGGGGGAGGGAGGAGCGCCCCCAGAAGACAGAGCAAGGTCTGGCTTAGGCCGAAGATCCTCCACCTAGGAGAGTCCCGGCCCCACCCTCAGCTGCAAAGTCTCTACCCCAAACTGAGGCAAGCTCCCAAGAGGCCAGCAGCCGCCCAGGGAACCGGAGTCTGCTACCGACGCCTAGCTCAGAAACGTCGATCCCGTCCGATTTCCAAAGAGAGGCCTCTGAGAGGAGGGCCCGAACGAGCTCTGAGTCCAGCTCTGACGCCTGCGGAGGAAAGACAGACGCCAAAGACGGGACCCGAGGAAGGGGCGGGCCGCTAGGTGGCTCACGGGCCGCGCGCGTCCCTGCGGACGAGGCTGGGGACGCGTCCACCGGCTTCCTGTCCCCAGGATCCGCCTAGACCAGCGGCTGCGAGGTGGCGCGGGAGGACTTGGGCGGGCCTCTCCGCCAGTCCTTGCCGCACCAGGACTCTCGCCTCTCCGGGCCTCAGCTCCCTCCCTGCGAAGTGGCGCGCCGGGGCCACGCGGAGGGGACGCACGCAGCGGGCGC